TTGATAAGAAGCCACCAGATGTCTCTGTAATATTCCCCCCCCCCCCCTTCCCCTCGGAGTGTCGCCTCTACTCAATGCTTTCAGCCCTCGCGGATGACGGATCCATAGTAGACAATGGGAGAGAGCGGCTGCTCACAGCCGTGTAAACAGGGTTGCTAGTCGTACGCGCGAAATACTCCATCTGGCAACCGTCACTTAATACCGTCGATACCTAATACCCGTGGTCTTTGAGACATCTCGTTGAGGACGTGTAACGTTAGGCCAATCGCAGGCCTATTCATACTATCACGAACCATTTCAGAGAGGGCGTACAACGTTAGACCGGTCGGAGGCCTGTTTCGCGGTTCATTCACCATTTCAGTGGGACATGGAACGTTAGGCCAATCTGAAGTTCCTCGAACCATCTCGAAAAGGTCTGAGGAGGGAATGCCTCCAGGAAGCATGGAATCCATGGCGCGAGCCATTCTGGTAATTCAGGGATGTCCGGATAAATATCTCCATATCCCACCACATCGATCAATCGCTTCTAGCAACCGCTTCATTCTCAGCTCGTCTCACGAACTCGGCACAAAAAATGTATCAAATTAAAGATCTGAAGGTCCAGACGCCGATACAAAGGTCTTGAATCAGGCATAATTTCGGCACGACATCCGGCAACACTGGGGGATGGTACCGGAGTCAGCCATCCAAGCCTAATTCAACGACAGCTAATTTCACTTTTCATGGCGAAATGGTGCATCGCAAACAACAAAAAGGCCACTTTTCATCATCTACGAATCAATATCTTCCTCCCGGTTGGTCTCTTTCCTCCGAAACCCCCCAGGAGCGGCTACCCGGGGGAGAGGAAAAAAAAACGGAATGAAAATCACATCTTCCAAAATCGAGATTCAGTGTTCGCCACAACCCCGGGGAGATGGAGCTTCAAACTTGCTGGAGCTATACTGTGTTGCGAGAGGAAGAAGCAAGCCAAATTTCGTTCCTGTTGATGCTCTCAAAGAGGAATACGAGGAGGTTGAATTTTTTGGCGGGAAGGGGTCGAAGAAAGGCAATAGACGCGGTGGCGCCTATTGAGTCATTTCAAAGTTGGATGGTTAGGAAATACAGATGAGGTGATGAAACCCGTGCCATGAGGACCGTGCATGGCAGCATGGCGGTTTGGCCTGAATGACATTGTCCAGGTGAGGTCCGTCATGGCAAGGGAGTCGAGTGCGTCGGGATCGACTTCGCTTCGCTTGCGTGCAACGTCTTCGAGGTGACCGACCGACGACACAGTTTCGAGGAGAAGAAAGGTTTGCTGCCAATCTTCCGCGAACGAAATTTCTTGCGTCGGGATCTGAACGATCCGGTTGGGAGTGTGCTTCGGCAGGCCAAGAGAACTTATATCGAGTGAGCGTAGGTTCGGCGTGGCGAGGTGAGGCTTCATAGAATTCGGTGCGTGCGTTGCGATAGGCTTGATTTTGACGCTGGAGAGGGCCGAGACTGTTTTGAGGGACAGACTTACAAGATTCTAGCTGGAAAACGTTGTCGCTGCACAGTTTTCTACTTTCTTCGCGAGATGTCTTGAAAAAAAAACCGCCTCTCGATTGAAAGGTAACACGAAGGTATTCAAAAGCCGGAACAATCCGTAATGGCGTTCCGTTGTATAGGAATTCGACCTTGGATGCCAGGTATCTTCAGAATTTTCTAAATTCTAGGATAAAAAGGGGCTGTGCTATGTATGATTAATTATTAGTACGGATCCGTGACAGAATCTTTGAGCACATCGTACACGGTAACACGCAGATCACAAGGACAGAAACAGATCGATTCAAACGTAATCGTATTCGACCGGAAAACGTAATCCAATCCGCAGAGCCGGGATTACAATGCTAACGAAAATTCCAAGTCCAGCGCGTTGCATACGAATGACGAAATATCGTTTTCGATCGCTTCCGCATCCCACGCCTGACGCCTGGCTGCATCAACATAAAAAAAACACAATGGAAAAGAGAGATGGTGCACGCTCCTCTCTGTGCCGGGGGCAAGATGATGTAAGCGAGAGCACGTGCATTCGCTTTCGCAAAAAGTGAGAGAGGGAAGCGAAGCAGGAGGGAGCCGAAACTGTGGAGAGCCCACAGGATCATGATTGTGGTGGAGCTGTAAGTTCAATGTCAGCGATGTCTCTTGTCTCTGAACATGGTTATTAAATTATATCATTTACTGAAATAATTATGTTGTATGTAAATTATTTTACAACGCAAAAAATAATAATATGCTTGGAATGAAGGATAAGGCACGGGAAGAAGAATATATGACATGCGATCCGGTTCCTTAGCCGTTTCAAGGCCGAGTCCTTGGAAATGTCCAGATCCTCTCATCTCGTAGAGATCAAGGCAAACGGGATATTTTCTATCTGCAGACCAGATAAGGTCTCGCCTAACCTTGAAAGTTACACACATACATACAAGCACGATGCAAACTGTCTCATAAAGCAGCGGTGTGAAACTAAATTCGGTCGGCGGGTCGAATTCCATACCCTGCGGATAAGTGCGGGTCGCACCTTTAGAATCGTGAGTGGAGGGTTCTGTGAGTTGATCCAGGTTCAAATTTGGACAGGCGACGGGCCGGATGAAACACCTCCGCGGGCCGTATGTTTCACACGCCTGTCAAGAAGTCATCCTTTATCCTTTCTTCTTTTATTTAAACCTCTTAATGCAGATGTGACGAGTGATTGCCCCCCCCCCCCCCCCCCCCCCCCCCCCCCCNCGCCTCCTCCCCCTTGCACCTCAAAGTTTTCTTCTAAATCCCGATGAGAGTGAGTGGCTAATGTCCCATGGTCACTCGATCGCGGCACCAGGACGCTAGGGGGGAATCTGGACCCCCGTCACATCGGGGCCCTAGGCGATTGTCCCTCGGAATTCCTTCATTTCTGGCTTCGATGCGGTGGGCGAGAGCACGTGAAGGATCCACGAGGCTAGGGAATGCAATCGGAGACGCCGTGCAAGGTGGACTTCCTGCATTTAAAAGTCGTCTTGGCTGATGTAGTAGTGCATTCCTTTCAATCACGAGTCGAGAGAGATGAGCAAAGGAAGACGTTAGCGTGTGAGGCGGTTCGGGGACAGAAAGGAAAGCTGGATGAGGGGAGAGTGGAAATGAAGAAGGAAACCAGAGGCGGAGCAAACTCTCCTTTCAACCCTTTACTTCCAAAAACTATACAAAGACCTTTCCTCATAAGGGGCAGACAGGCATCTTATCTTCTTCTCCCCCTCCCCACCCTTAAAAAAAAAGGGACGGAGTCGCCCTTGGTTTCGGGGTAGACGATTTGATTGACAGTTCCGACTTCTCACCTTCATTACCCCCTTATGAGCCCTCCGCACACGGGACGATTTTTGTTGTTCCACCGTCTCGTTTTGTTGCTTTGTTGCTCGACTGTCGCTCCACATTATATTGCTCTGTGTGCGGGGCCCTGTGATGCCGCTGCGTTGTAGGCCATTCCAAATTCTAACGTCGACAAACCACATTGCGACCTAAAATTTCAATATGGTAATTTCCTTAAATTTAGGTCCGCATTGTCCATCCCATTGTCCTTTTTTGTATGCGTTGGACCGTTTTTTGCCACATAAAATGAAAGTTAACAGCTTGGTGTTATTTGCACCGAACTACGTTCGTTGTGACATCTCACTGATGAGATCATGAAATAAAGGAGGGAAAACCTTCATCGAAGTAAAAGGAAAGAGAAGAGTGATGTAAACGAAAGTTTACCGTCAGGGGGACTTCGGGTTATGAACCACTTGCCAAAAAATAACCATCTCAGAAATGAAAATTGTTTTCCTAAAGATGCAGCGAGCAGAAACGAATAGGGGCGTAGTGTCTTGTATGATACTTGAGAGAGTGTTGCTTGCTAGGCACAGGAATCACTAACGAGATTGCATTCCTCCGGGCAAAGACGCCTGCTCCACGATCACGAAGGCTTAGGCCTCCGGGCGGATTAGGGCTCGCCAACGTCTGTGATTGCAACCGTATTTCCTGGAAAAGGCACATTGAGTGTTTCCCCCTGGCTCAGCAGACATTCCCCGTGGGAATGGAGCCAACGGAACGAGAGCTCACCGCCAACCGGACTCGATCGCTCGCTTCCTGGGTTTCACTCGGAAGCTCGACCCACCGGCGCGCCAGCCTCGGAATTCCGTCGGGCGTGGACTAGGGAAAACGGGGAAGATGAATACCACATGCTGCCGAAGGATTCTCGAAAGGAGGATAAAATTTCACTCTCGATCACGACAGCTAGGATCAGTATAAAGAATAAAAAAAAAGCTTAACAAATTGAGGGGGAATCTGCCATCGCGATAAAGACTTCTATGAGATCTCAGGTTTCTAAGCGGAATATCCCCGCGAATCGGTTGCATAGCCGGCTCACTGGCCAGGGGCGGTGATGCCCTATCTCATGAAGGTCTACACGCGTCGCCCAATAGATCCGTATGTCGGGCAGGCAAAGTACTGAGGCGGGGCGGGCAGTCCTTCGATACGACTCTGTCGGGCTCGACGGTGGTTGGGCTTCGAATTTTTCTCAGTGGCCATCCCCTAAGACAGAACATAGTGTGTTTTTTTTTTCAGTGCCCCACAGTCGTGGATCTTCTTGGTCATCATTAGCCCGTTCGCAAGGTCAGTGCTATCACGTTTTCCTAAAGGCTTTGCGAACATTCACACAGTGAATAAATCATACCGACTCCAAAAGGAGTTGACTTGAATCCAAATCACCTGCGGTAAATTTCAGCTCGAGTACATTTTGCTCTCCAATGACGACTTAATCCCCTTCCATCTGTCTTAAGTCTCTGAGCGTGTATCAGAGGTCTGAGTCGCGGAGATTACGAAGATTCCGCGAATAAATTCCTACGTTGAAGGTTAAAACCTTAACTAAAACCTTCTCCTTCTCCTGCGTATTTGTTCCTCAGAACTCAGAAAAAAAAGTATTTCGGGATTTCTGTGATTAGGTTTCACCACTACACTATGTTTACCCGAGAAGGATGAGTGATCACTGGCAAAAAATCAAACAAAATTCATGAAAAAAAATAGAGCTGTCAATAGACAGGACATTTTAAACTGCTCAATCGTGATTTGCCTAATCCACTTATTATAAAATTTGGATTTATTATATCAATTTTAAACTGGCAATAATTCCCTGGAAGCATTCTAAAGGAAGCTTGTTGGGCATTATATTGTAGTTTGCGGTATCTGCCGAATGACGAGGCTGCCATCCCGGGATTTGCGCAATCGTAGCATTGCAGATACTGCCATGTTACTCTGCTCTCCACAATCAATTTTTTAGTTTCAGTGTTGCCTACTTTATATATACAGACAATGAATGGCAAATGGATTACCCAGTCTTAGGAGAATTCTTCGGAGGAGAGATTCGGGAATATTTAAATATGATTCATCAATATTAATTTCTTAATCACAAAAGAGACTGTAATTGACTCGTCAGGAAATGAATCCCTCCGAATTCGCGGAACTATTCAAATCATTCTGGTACCCAGATGAGAAAGAATCGCGTGGGATTACGACTTTCTGACCTGTTTTTCCGCAATATTTGTCTTCAACAGGTGGTTTGCACAGAAAGGAGTCCAGCAAGAAAAGGGGAGGTAAAACGTTCGAAAAGAGTAGGAAAGAGGGAGAGAACATCCATCAGGATGACGGGGAACACAGAGATGGAGGATCTGGTGATGATGATCAACAAGCTCCAAGTACGGAAGCGGTGGTGGAGAAGGTCAGAGTTAGAAGTCGAAGGGTACTAGCGGCAGTAGCCGCCTGTCTCGCGACCGTTCAGAAGGCATGAGCTCCGGCAGCGACCGTCCATGCTGTGCAATACCTTGCCTCTTCGCTTGCGGCCATTCAGCTGCCCTATCAATCGACCTTATAATTTGCGTGTGTCATCGTATATCCTGCAGGGACTTTTTGCCTCGGGGTATCGGCATCGTTACGAGATGTCCGCTCATTCTTCAAATGATACCAAGCAGCGAAGGTATTATGTTTCTCGTGGTTTCTCTCTTCATGCGTGGATTCCTACAAGTCACTTCATTATTTAAAATATGCAGCGATATCTGGACTGGAAACAAACTCCTCAATCAGGAAAATTTTAGCAATAGTTACTCTCATTTCGCGCGTTCCCTTTTTTTCACAGATTTTATCATGATACTGTCGAGACGTTAATATCATGCACAAAGGCCTTCACAATTTCAAGATGCCGTGATGCAAGTAATGCATGAGGCAAATTGTTATTATGGGGGTGGTGCCTTATGGTCACCCCGTGAAATAGCCTCATCATACACACGTCTTAACAATTATAGCATTAGCACTTAAGATGCATTTCTATGTTACATCTGATTGCACTCCTCCATTGTTCCACTCCTTATTGTTTTGTCAAAATCTGTTTTTGTGAGTTTCCCTTCACTTAAGTAGTTAACAAATCTTTTGATCATTTAAAAATTGTTCTTGAGAAAGGGAAGCTCACTTCCACGTCCACCACTTCCACCACTGTCCATTCTCACTTCGCGTCCACCTCAGTTTTGGTTCTCTGGCTTGTAAATATTACCCACGCAGAACACGCCATTATTATTAATATTGAATAACATTTGAAAGAAAAATATACGGTTTCCTTACAAATTGGCTATTTTGTCATCTTGAAATTGATTTCGGCAGAGTACTTAGAGTTTTTGCATCTGCCGGATGAGAGGTTCACTGATTTCACGGAAGTGAGGAAAGAAATTGTGGCGGCAACAGACAGGGAAGCAGCGGACAAGGCCATCTCCTCCAAACCCATCAACCTCAGGCTCTATTCCCCTCATGGTAAAGTCGATTCCTTCATCCACTGAGCGCTCGTAGACTTGAGTCTAGTTCTCAGATATGAGTCTTATTCACAGTTCTTCAGCTCACTCTGGTCGATTTGCCTGGTATGACCAAGGTCCCGGTTGGGAACCAGCCTGAAAACATCGAACAACTTGTGAGCATCATCTCAATTGCATTATTTTTTCGATTTCAGGCGGTATTGCTTCAAATATATTCGCCTTCTCCTAGAAATTTAGATCATACGAACCTGTCTGTGTCGACTGCTAATATATTACTGACGTTGCAAACGTAGCAGGTAGAGGAGGAAGCAAGTGATATTACTTTTCTTTCCATTCTTTTTCATATTGAATATACGAGGTCTCGCAATAAAGTTCGTAGGATTGATTTTTTTGTGAGCCTGTCAATATCACAATAATTATTTTAATTCCATGGACTGATAGATTAGACTGCTGGGCAGTGTTATGTCAGTCCTCATCTAACTAGCATCATGAATGAGAGTTTGGCTGGCAATTTAACAACTCAGTGCGTAAGGCCTCTGTCATATTCCCAGATTGAAGCAATGCTACATCACATTTTGTCTCAAACCGGTCAATACAGCTGCAGTAATCCATCAATTGTTGCAGAAGTGCCTTGATAAGTTCCTTGTTATGCTCCAATAATTTTGAATGACCTTCGAGGCCTTTAGTGAGTACTGAAGACAAAGATCCACCTCAACCCCAACCATCACAAACCATTCACCCACAGGATGGCTGAACCAGTCACTATTTTCAATGTCATTTCTACTGGCTGAAAGCTTTAAAAACTATTCAAGATTCTTGGAGTATGACAAGACAACTTGTCATGGTCAGTCGAAAGCATTCCAAAGCTGAAAGAGTAGATCGCGTAACTAGTGTGTAGGTAGACGGATTGGAACCCCGCCAGACATGGAAGACATGGTCATGGGGTAAAACTACTTTCATTACCATACTTCTTCCTTCTCGCCAAGCATGCATGGATCTATGAAATGAATCCTGAGTCACTTGATGGTGCACAATGTTAAGGACACGCTGAAAATTATTATACGCTAGTAAGAGCGATAATCACAATATTCCTAAACATGGCAAAACTGTAAAGTTTAAAGTGTTGCCTACGTACAAATATGACAAATGACATGACAATGGGAGCACCTACAGAATTATTGCCGCTGGAGGTGCAATCCTTGTATAGTTGGCTGCACGTATTACATTAGCCAGGGGTGCTACCATTGCAGTATTTGCATTGAGGTCATGTCATTAATGCAACAAAGCTTCTCTATAATTTTCTGCACTTTTGTCAGCTTTACTATGGAGACTGGTCCGTGCGGCGGTGTCGTTAGCGTACTTTTACGATTTTTTCCAAAGAAATTTCCGGGTAATGTGCAAATTTTGCGATGGCGAAACCCATTATTAGCTACTGTAAGTGCTGCAAGTGATTCCCCATGTTTCACTACTCGTATCTGAACAACGGCACCATAGCACAGATCTACAGTATATTTGTCATCGTATAGATCTTTGATCTCTTTCAATACTTACTCCATAATGACTCTTTACACCGAATGCATGCACGCATCTACGTGTTGGCTCAGAATGAAAATAGCTTGAGGCAGGACATGCTATTTAAAAAAAAGAAAATGGGGAAACCCAGTCTTTAGTAAGTCGTCTTTAAATTACTGGGAAGAGGAGGAGGATGCGTCAGATAAGGGATGGGAGGAGCGAAGGACGCATCCTTCTCTCTTCTAATTCATGCAACCTTCATGCTGTTACCACGGGTTAACACGTGTTAACAGAGTCCCAATTTAACATAGTATGTTTAAAAGTTTTGTTAGGGTGTGTTGTATCGCCAATTATGCCATCACATCAAGTAACTCTGGGCGGTATCACTGCCAGCGCTACAATATGCAGTCTCTATTTCCGTTTGTCCAGAATGAATTGGACAGCGACTGAGGCTAAAAGAGGAATGAGTTTTGGCCAATTACGTGGCACACCTAAGCAGGTGGAGCGTCGTGCATGCAAATTCAGGTCGAGTTCCAGGAAGGGTTGTGGTTGTTCAACCCTTTAGCGTTGAGCAAAATTCAAAAACCAAAACTCACGAAAAATGTTATGGTGTTGGTCCGTATCCCGAAGAAAATGAACAAAACTCTTGCTAACGTCTATTTTGATGCCAATTTTCACTGCGATGAGTTCAATATTTTATGAGCTATCATCGGAAAAGGAAAGTGTGAGACAGACACACACACCAACTCACAGAAAGATACGCAGACTCACACATTTATACAAATCTAATGTGACTAGGGACCAACCTATTCCCTTAGGAGGTCGGCTAAGAAGGTACAAGGTCTGCAACAGGAAGGCTATGGAAATCGACCATACATGCCTTCCCTAAGATGGCTCACTCACAATAATGCACAAACGTTGAAAAACGCAGGGAAGCATTCATGAAAGTGCACACGGAACACATGGCTTCGCAAATTTTCATGACTCGAGTAGTCGAAGTAGTAAAAGTTGCCTGTTCGCCATTTCTTGCCTCTAGGTAAAGTTGTTATGGTAACTAAAAAAAAACTTTTTGATACGATTGTTCCTGGACTGTAAGATAACTTATGTAAGTCAATCGGATGATGGAAGACCGGAAGGTTTGTCTCGATAATCAAGAGCCCTAGTACATGTCATGGGGTATAGCCCCAAGGTAAATAAGTAACACATGGGGTAGTAGCCTTACAGTTCACTTATGGTTGAATCGTCGGATCGAAAGACGGTGTTGGACTGAACTTAATTTATTGCTCGTTTCTTCTGCCAGATCCGCGACTTGATCTTGGAGTACATCGAGCCCGAAAACACATTGATCCTGGCCGTGACTCCTGCGACGGAGGACCTGGCCAACTCCGACGCACTCAAACTCGCTCGCCAAGTTGATCCTAACGGTAAGGGTGAACATTTTTTCAATCCCAATACTTCTATAATCTTGCATGATTACTATGTATTCTATATTTATGGCTGACGAGCTGAGTTCGACCTTATCCCACTCATATCCACTCGGTCCCAATAGTATTGTAGAGAAACTAGTCGGAAGAACAGCTGCGACAAAGGCAGGGATTTGGATCTTCTGACTGGATCTTCGCTCATCCTGCACTAAATGTCACTCGGAAGAATTATGCACATCCCCTACGTTTCTATGCAATTTAACCCTTTCGTGAGCCTTTTTAATAACTATATTACATAGCTTCCCAAGGAACAGATTCCATACTTTTACTGGTCTCAAATCGTATGAAAATCAGGCGGGAAGTATGATTCCCACACCCCACGAATGGGTTTAGGAAAGAATCGCCGCCACGGCTCGCTTCTCGAGTCTATTCTCGAAGGCCTGCAAGGGTGACCGCGAAGTCTGCCGCCGATAGATGGACGACACACGACAAGATGCGATGTTGGAGACCCAGAGATGTTCGTGCTTATGACAGAAAGGAAAGATTTTATATTTCAAGTCTGCCTAGAAGATGATCCACTTTTTAAATATACAGTAGAATATAGAAAAATATATAGAAACGTTGCGATGTTGGAGACCCAGAGATGTTCGTGCTTATGACAGAAAGGAAAGATTTTATATTTCAAGTCTGCCTAGAAGATGATCCACTTTTTTAATATAATAGAATATAGAAAAATATATAGAAACGTCCATTGCTGTTAGAACGGCATGACATTTGGCAACGCAATAGTGACCCCTTGATGAGTTCTGGAAGGAAATCTCCAATAAACGATGTCCGGTCAATTCCCCAAATGGTTATTTCCCCGAGTGACGAATTCCCTGAACGGCCAGTTCCCCGATCACGGTGTTCCTATCTCACGGTCGCGGATGGAGGGCTATCGACCGCATTCATCTCCTTCATGTCCAGGAATCGAATTATATTTCACGACCTTGTTTTTCTCTGAAGAGAATGACACAAACAAAAGAACAACCCTACTAGATAAAAGTTTTTATTTTGGTTTAATAATGAAAGGAGGCTTACAAATGAAATGTTTTCTCTTTTTAAAAACTCATGTTAAAGGCGACACTACGCACCAACTCTTGTAGGTCCTGTGCAGTTCAGTTCTCAATCCCTGCGTATCTTTGTACGAGGGTTTACAGAAGTCGATCTACGTCTAGGAATTTCTTTCTTGGAGGAGGGGAGCACCAGCGACTCGCTGGGTGATGCTCACGTCGTGCTTATTGTTCTCTTGCTGTTGTCTCCCAAGATAGGAGAAGAAGTTCAGGTGTAGCCCATCGCAGTTTTTAAGGAAACCGGAATGGAAGCCTTCCACGGTATTTGTTGTACGTGGCAGGTCCTGCAGGACACGATTGTAGTTGTTCCAGAGACCTGGTTCGAAGAGAGGTGCTATTCGACGTTTCCCTCTCATCACCCGTTCGATATAATTATCTTCAAAGTAGCTCAGTACAGGCAGTACTGCGTTTGGCATGGTGGCTACAAAACGATGTTTGCGATCACCTTGAGGGCTTGTAATTGTCCAGGTTCTGGAGCATGATGATGTTACCCTCGATTGCTGGCAACCTGCTCTCCTTCAGCTGTAGCACTGAAATTGCAGTTTCATTTGTATCTTCTGTAATGACACTCCCAATACGTTCTTCGTCTGTCCTTGCTCATCTTGTTCTGTGTGAGCAGATAGTCCTCAAGAACAAGAAGATCATTGCCCTTTTCGCTCTTCACGAACTCCATGAGTACACGAACTATCACACCGTCCAAGAACTGACCACTTAATAATCTGATTCCTAAGCAACCCCACTTCTCCATATATAGTCTCCTTTTACATTTTGATAGACATCTTGTCGATCCTCTCATCTCTGGCGGCTGAGAGGATTATCTTGCAACCCTTTCTGTCCCCTTATCTTTCCCATGAGAATCTTTCTCAGTGATCTGACTGGGATTGCATCGGCAGTCATATTCCCTAAACGAACAAATTTTCCTTAGGTGGAAGGCAAAGAAGTTAATTATTTTCTCCCCTCCAGGATTAGAGAAGTTGCACGACTTTCACTTTCCTTTCGTTCGCCTGGAACCTCCTCCCCTCTTCCTTTGGTTCCGGCTCGGTTGGGGGCGGCCGCATCCCCCCCCCCCCCTCCTCACTCCCCCATGCATGATGTGCGAGACAAGAAACTTAGATGGATCTATTCAGATAGATCCATTTCCTTTGTGCCACCATCGGAGAATTCATTTAAAGGGGATATCCCAAACGGGGATCTGGTCGTTCGGGGAATTGACCAGGAACTCTTATAAGCAACGTGTTCACAGTGCACGGTAAGACCAGGATGTATCAATAAATATATGTATTTATCGATTGCAGGAGAAAGGACGATCGGAGTGCTGACGAAGCTGGACCTCATGGATCGAGGCACAGATGCAAGGGACGTTTTGGAAAATAAAGTCTTCCCTTTGAAGCGAGGATACATCGGAACTGTGAACAGATCGCAGGCAGAAATCACAAGCGGGACAGACATGTATACCGCCAGAGACTCGGAAGACAAATTTTTCGTGAACCACCCCGCTTACAAGTCTGTCTACTGCCATTTTCTTGTCTTCGTAGTCACGAAGCTCTTGCGAATAATTATTATCTGGTCGAAGACGAGGATATCGTCGGTGTCCTCGTCCGGGTTTGATTTTTTTTGTAAGCTCTAGTTTAAATGCCACTAGCTCGTGTTTGAAGATTTGAGGGTATGGCAAAAAGATCAACGACTTTGTATGTTTGGATCAAATCTCCGTTTGGTAGGAATGTAGCGCGCCATCTCTATTTGTTATATATATTTTTTGCAGCTACATTAAATACCTAAAAGTCACATCGATGTTATAACCAATATTTAGCAGCAAATCTGAAACTAAAAATGGATAACTCTTTTAACGATTATCACAGCCTTGTGAATGTTAACAAGTACTGCCGTTAATTAAAATGCTGCAACAGCCGTAAGAAATAGCCTGATCCCGTTCCCGTTAATTTCTGCGCCATGCCTATTTTATTGCTTGAAAATACTTCACTTTTCCCATAAACTGTCCTGAGCTGCATACTTTTCATCTAAAAGAAAACGTAAAAAAAGTTTCAAGCATTCCGTTGTCGTTTTTTAAGTGCAGGAACTCTGTTCATATTAAATTTCAGACTTATTGTAGAATATCGCCCCCCCCCCCCCAGTCCGCACAATAAAATTGTATGAACATTGACAGGAGGTTCAAATGCTAAGACATGGTTAAAGTCGACAAATCAAAGATCAAGTGGTGACTATTCCTGATTAATTATCCGAATTTTCATCACGAAGAGAGTACTGATGGCTTAGTGAAGTCGTTCGGAGGTCTTTAAGCGCAATTATTTTTCAACATTTGCTTTTAACATAGTCTCAGTGATGTTTAAACTTAAAGCTGTTCACATTATCTGAACAAACGTTGCAGATATTTGCAATAATCAGCCCATTCTCGGACTGATGGCGGACACACGCTAATTATATCATTATTACGGCGCGAATAATCTTCGAAGGGCACACTGAACGTCCGCTATATCCGCATTGGCCTCCTTATGAACTGGGAGGACCTTCCTATCTAGCTTAGCTATCATGTTCCCGTTTTGAATGAAATGGAAGGGATTGACAGGAACTTGATGGAGCAAGTTGGGACGAGGGCCCTCCAAAGGGTGCTGAAGCGGCAATTGGAAGAGCACATTAAGGAGAAGCTACCGGGGATCCGATCCAACATGATACAAAAAAAATCCAATCTCTTCGAACAGCTACAAATCTTGGGAGCTCTCGAAAACAGGACAAAAAGCAGCAATTCGATTTTCCATCAGTATGTAGTTAGATTCTTTCGTTCATCATATTCCAAACGTGAGAAAATCAACATCGATATGCTTTCCTTTCCTACCAGGGTGATGGCAATGTTCGCCAGAAGCGTGAAACGTTGTCTCGTGGGTTTCACGGAAGACGTGGATATCACCGAAATACAGCTGGGCGCCGTCATCAATGAGACCCTCAACGATGAGATCATTAATGGCCTCCTCAATGTGGTTCGCCATATACTCTGCTCGTGTCATCTAGCGCTAATGACATAATTAGTCCCGTTTTGTTTAAAAAAAAGATTATATCTTAAATTTCCCTTCGTGATTGATCATCTAGAGTGAAGCAGCATTCTTATCAACACCATTTCCTTCGACTTCACGTTAAAGTGAACTAATGAATTCCAGAAAGTATTAACTACAAGAAAGAAAACAATATCGCTCCGATTCACCAACTAACAGTAGCCTATTGACAGGGGTGCGTTACTGGCTCAGGAATATTGGGCGCGCTGAAATCCTACTCTCTCAGTCTTCTTTAAGAATGAATTACCAGTGGTTTACATTTCCCCGTGGAGAAAGATAATCCGGAGCGAGCGCATAGTGACCCAGCAGTATTCAACAGTATTTAACAAATTCACTGCCATGTGCGACTGTAAAATAAAAAAAGCATTTATTTTTTCAAACATCGAAAATGAACTTCCGGTCGAGTTGTGAGTGAAAATCGATATCTACATCGCTTCTTCTATGCCTCCTTTATGTTTCCCAAACGTTTTGTAGCATTTGAGCCACACCAGCTTTTTGAATTTAAGAAAAATTGAGAACTATTTCGAAAGAAATATGAAAACGTCTTATGACGTGTCTGGCAGCAAATGTTTTAATATCCATTTCCCTCAATCTCTCCCCGACCTGTCTCCATCTTCGGCAGATACTAACAACGCAAAGGCCGCATTATGGCGTATGGTACAAACTTCACTTTGCTTACATTATTTTCACATCACGCCTAACATTAATCGGATTTAGTTATTTTAGAGAAAACGATTCAATATTTTATGTTAAAAAATTACCGTAAAAATAAACTGTCATGCTCTAGAGAATAATTTAGCGATTGATAGTGACCACGCTTCTTTTGAACAAAATATATTTCTCTCATAAAATATATGCGATCCCTAATTAACGCTCTTCTCTTGGAATAGTCGTTCACTTTCCTCCAGAGGACTTTAGAAGACTCGAATAAGTTTTCTCGAATAGGAGGCTTTCTCTTGTTTCATTTTTTAACCTTCTCGTGCAAAGGATGAATGGTGAAGATCAATATGGCGATGTCGGCGAAGTTCGCGCCAATATGACGATTGGCGAAATTCCATTCAAATGGCATACCATCTCCTATTAGCATTGCCCTATGGGGATTTATGAAATAGGTATAATTTACATTGAAACTGAAATATGCTGTCTCTCTCATTGGATTTGATTTAGGAGAATCTGATGCCATCGAAGGAGGAGGTAATGACGGCCATGCGGAACTTGGTTGGGGTTCATAATTACACGGCACCCCCGCAGCAAGCATTGAGGAGAATGGTCCATCACCTAACCAAGAAATTCGAGGAACCAATGAAGATGTCTGTTGAAATTATCGCGGAGCACACCGGCAGAGCCATCGAGAAATTTGCCTCTCAGGTCGTTAAGTCAACAAAGAAGAAAGAAAAGAAAAAAGTCACGAAAATAGAATTTACCCCATCATAGGTGTGCTTTAAAATATTAAAAACGACATTGTTGATTGTTCTGAATAGGAAATCGGATCCTTCCCCAACTTGAAGCAAGAAGTGCTGATCCTGGTGATGGAGAAACTAAAGCAGAATGAGCTGAGCTGCAAGGAACTCCTTGTGACGTACATCGAAGCGGAGCGGGCCTTCATGAACGATAAGCATCCTCATATGAAGCAGGATGATATATCAACTTTCATTCAGATCAGGTCTGCCGTCTTTTATGACTTTTGAAGAATATTTTTTTTTCCTTTCGAAAGACATGATCCATCGCTTTGCATGTTCATTTTCACTTTTTCTTGGGAATGATCTAAGATTCCACTCGCTTCCACTCAGAATCTGATTGATCAGAAGGTGAGAAAACATTCCCACCATGAATCCAAAAAGAAAAGCCTTCGACACGATTTTGGGCAGAAGAATATGCTAATATTCACTTAATCTAACCGCATTCAGACGGGATTAAGGGAACTTGGCGCATTAAGGGAAGGTAAAAAAAATGCCCTTGAACCTTGTGGTGCTGTTTTGCTTGCGTAACAGTAGATCATTCTACATAGTGCGACAGGGGAAGGAAAAGAAAATGGAGGAAAAATGAATCCGAGAAGTTCCCCGATACCTCCACCAAAGATACCAAAGGTGAGACTATCGAAGTCCTTCCTTCATCATCTTTGCAATATATTGTTTTGGTAAAAGAAGTATCTGGGTACATTGAAAGGGAACCCAGAAGATCCACCAAGGCTTCCTGAGCCTCCCAGGTGAATCTGCTTTCAGGAGGAGGAAACAGGCTTGGTTCACCCTCACACCTTCTCAACTCACTGCATTCGAAGACAGCCAGGTACATTTTAAATGAGTGAGTTTGTTTGCCCGAAGGGCAAACATACTCGCTATGAACGCGCCTTCGGCGCTCGATCTTGAAAAATAATGTTTTAGAAAATGTTCTTAGGGACGTCATATGACTTCCAGCATGAGGATCATCAGGTGCAAATTCAGGGCGTCGTTTAATGATTCCATTTTGAATTTAATGCGTGTCTGGAGTGGTCACACTCTTCTTTGCATCCAAATCACAAAACCATAAATACTGTAGTATACCTATGTTCGGGTGCAGAAATTCTAAATAAGTGCCTAGTTCAAACTCTTCCTGAGGAACCATGAGAAAATACGTCATTCATGCAGGGACGTAGCCAAGGGGGGTGTCTTGGGTGTCTGGATACCCCCGAAAAGGAGCAAGATATCATGAAACAAGGAGTATGGAAGTGGAAGGGGGTGGGGGTGTGTGTAAAGTTTCACATTTACAACTGAAGTTTCGACTTGCACTCATATTCCACCTTCGGAATACAATCACTCTTGACCAAGACAGTGCCCCGCCCCCCCCCCCATTTTACTTTCATTGCTCTACCAGTTTCTTAGTTCCAGTAGTAAACTTAGGAGTAGCTTTCACCAAATACTTTATGACTAATCCAAGGTCAGTCTTTGAGACGTATCTCTTCATGCAAAAAAATGTGAAATTCTGGGAAGAGATGGGGGCTATTTTCAACTATCAATATAAGATGGGTACGGTTGAAGTCTGAAAAAGGTTTTCCAAGTTTTCCTCATTCCTCCCAACCCCTCACCTTCCTCGGCCACTTCGTCATCTCATGAGCCTGAAAGAACCTCACAAGACATCCCCCGAAATTAATTCCTGGCTACGTCACTTTTTTTTAAAACTGTAATAGCGGCTATTTCTCAGAAGCAAACCCCTCAAAATTATGTACCATTCGAAAGAAAATTGAACAAGCTTCATTTTACTTCTTAAAAAAATTGATATTGGCCCAAGTTATTAAACTTCAAATTCGGGTCGGTTTTTTTTTTGGCTCACCTTATATATTAGAAGATGGTGACTTTCCCTCCCACCCTCCTTCCTCACCCCTTTCACGACCCGGTTTTTCCCTGTGAGCGCAGGAAGACAAGGAGCTGCTACGACTCAACAATGAAGAGATCCGAATTGTAGCGACTAACGAAACGAGAAGGAGTCGCAAGAAGTTCATCATCTCCAGCATCGATGGCAGGTGAGCAACTCCATCCGTTTCGCCGCTACTGATCGCGCATAATTTATTATGCTTTTATATATTTGAGTCGCAGACCCCTTGGTAAGGGATCCGCAAAGGAAATCGAAGTTACATACGATGGGAAGGACGGAAAAGAAGCTGGTGAACAATGGGAATCTAAGTTCCGAGAAGCAGGAATCCAGATCGAAAACTTCGGGAGTACCGTCTCCCTCGTGAGTCTATGCACGAGCCTCCGTCTTTATTGATACATATCCAGAGAAAGTGTTAGGAAAGGTAGACAGATTCAAGCTACCATACATTTCCCATCAAGCTTCGTCCGTAACGATTCAGGATGTTTATTATTCGCAAAAGTAATGGTTGGGGATTGACTTTTATTGTTCTTCTATGCTGCGGTCACCAAGCAACAACTGCTGAACCGATTTCGAAGCGAAGTATTGGTGTTCGTCACGTTCCAAGGTCATGCCTTTCGAAGCATTGAGTGCGTTGATTCGACAAACAGAACTGAAGAGTACTTTCAGAGTAGTTTAAACACCAACCTGAGAACCTTTGGACTTTCCTCAGCTTAAGTATGAATATATTGTATGAAGTATGAAGATATTGGACTTTCAATAGTTAACGAATACTAAATACATAAAATATATTTATTACATATTTTCTTTCAATTGAAACGTAAACGGACAGCACAACGGCAAAACCCTTTGTCAAGGGTTCCTTACACCAAGAAGGATTCGACTAGCTGGGGAGCGATGTGAATACGGGAATCAATCTTTTATGTTAAATTAATTGCGGCAGCATCAAATTGTCTCGAAATCAATTACATTCAAGAGCTCTTTTCACATGAGTACATATTTCATACATGAGGCTTCTGCCAGGAAAAATCTTTATTCATGTGTACGGGACACTTGATGGTCAGAAGGACTTGTGAGTGAAATACCAAATTTTGCCTTTTTCACAAGTTATTTGCACTTAATAAGGAACCGCTTGATCCTTTCTATTTGCGCATGAAGTTCTATGATGATCGGGCCGACAACGGCAACATGCTTCAACGCAGGTCACTGATTCGGCAGTGGTCGATGATTCGACCCAGAAAAATCGAATTTCATCAGGTTAGCTAATGTTTTAATTTCAGTGAAATCAAATATCTGATTTGGTGTTCGTTCTATTAATTAATTGTATCCATATTCCTGTTAATTTAATTCCGACAGGATTTGAAGAAAGACGGCGATGACTTCGCTGAAAAGATTCTCCGATACATGAGAATCGTGAGGGAGACCATCCGAGATCTCACGCCCAAGTACATAATCCTCAAGTTGATCAACATGGTCTGCATTTTCCCTACGCAAAGGTATTCTCGGTATGAACTGAAATGGTGCACAAATGAGGAGATGCCTTCCGTTTCTTTTAGCTGATAAAATACATAGAGGAGGAGCTCGTGGCTGAAATCCAGGAGAGGAATCGTGACATCGTGAGTTCGAATAGGAGATTGAATTAGTGAAGCTTAAACTTCACTAGCACGACTTATTTTCGTTTGAAATGACAGGACCAGCTGATGGAGCCCGGAGGAGACGAGGAGATGAAGAGAAGGCACCTCTTGAGTCTGTACGAGGCGACGCAGGAGGCCGTGAAGATCATCAACAGTTTTACCCTTTCCAATGCTCCTTCCTCCGCCTCCGCTTGACGTCCTTCGGTTTTTTTTTGTTTTATCGTTTTCTGCTCGGATTGTCATCAGTCCGATTTTGTATTAAAATAATGTATACCCGAAGGAATGCTGAAGATCCCTTCCATGCATCCATACTCATATGGGAACCAGACCGCTCATCAGCCATTCTTTCAGCTCTCGTGTACCTCGTTGAAATCGGGTTTCGACTGCCATGACATGGCATGGGGCCTCAACACGATATTGATGGGTGAAGTGATGGCAATGTATCAATGGGCGTTGTAGAGTCCATTACCTTTCTTCAACCTCTTCCGGCGAAAAAATTCAACCGTCTCGTATTCCTCTCTGAGAGCATCAACAGGAACGAAATTTGGCATACTTCTTTCTCTCTCAGCACAAAATCGCTCCATCTCCCGGGGTGTGGAGATAACTGAATCTCGCTTTTGGGAAATGTGAATTTTGTGTCAGTATTTTTTTTTCTCCCTTCCTGGGTAGCCGCTCTAGGGAAGTTTTTGTGAGGAAAGAGACCAACCAAACGAAAGATATTGACTTATAGGTGACAAAAAGTTTCCCTTTTGCAGCTTCCAGTGCACCATTTCGCCATAAAAATGAAATTAAATGCCGTTAATGTAGGGCCTTTTAGTGATGGAACGATCCCGTCCCGCAGTGTTGCCGGATATCATGTCAGGGTTATATCGGATTCATGACTTCTTCAGTCTTGTGTCGTTGTCTGGATCTTCTGTCTTTGATGTACGAGACATTATTGTGCTGAAATCATGGGATGAGCTGAGATTGAAGCGGTGGTTTGCAGTGGCCGATGGATTTGGTGGAATATGGAGATACCTCATCCGGACATTCATCAATTAACATGATGGTGGTCAGCTCGTATGTTATGCTTTCTTTCCTCGAATCGTCGCAACTCGTTCTTCTCAGAACGAGTCGCGACGATTTGAGAAACTCTGGATAGGCCGAATGTTCCCCGACCGCACTGAAATGACTCATGAAACTCTAAAAAGACCTAAATTCGGTCTAACTTTATACGTTCTCTGGTAAATGTGCCATGAGAGACTGAATAGGTCTGCGATTGGCCTAACGTTACTCGTCCTCAAAGAGGTGTTTCGAAGACAAGGGATTAATCCTTACAGGCGCAATTGATCCGTAGGCCGAGGATTGAGTTTCTCTTGAACGAAAAAAGGTAGGCCTAGGCCTGACCCGAAGACAGTCCGTCGGTTAGGCGTGAGGCGTTAGCGCAGTCCTAACGTTAGTGAGCTCCGTAGAGAAGGTGGGGGGGATTGAGGTTGGGTTGAGGTCGAAGAAGGTTAAAATCTTAAAAATTTGTTTTCACATTCCTGCATATTTCTTATGGTTGGTCTCTTTCCTCCGAAACCCCCCAGGAGTGGTAGTAAATGAGAAAACGGAAACATATCCAATAAGCTCCTTTCTTCACCGCCTTGTGAGCATGAGCCAGATAGAAAAAGTGACATGGGCCAGAGCCAGTGGGTGGTACGATTTTGAATTGAAAGTTAGCGTCGAACTTTTCTGGAATGGGGTGGTAGTAAATGAGAAAACGGAAACATATCCAATAAGCTCCTTTCTTCACCGCCTTGTGAGTATGAGCCAGATAGAAAAAGTGACATGGGCCAGGGCCAGTGGGTGGTACGATTTTGAATTGAAAGAAACGGATGTTTACGATGCGGAGCTGCTCGACGACTGGCAACGGAAACGGTGGTTCGGAAGTTCCACTGTGGAATTAATGTCAAAGCTAGATCTGGACTTGTCAACGTGTCCCTTTGCCATCTTGCTCAAAAGTGAACTTCGTTTACGTTTGACGAGAAGTTCCAATACGTTTTTCATTTCATGTCCCGATAGTGGGCTTAAGGATTCGAACTTACAGCTCTGCACTTTGCAAAACCAGTTTTATGTGAAAAAGTTGACACCTGTTCCCTCGGCGAATCTGGCATCGGAGGCTGCACTGAGTGGATCCGTCTTGCATTATCCCATGGAGAGAAGAGTTTTAAAGACACACGCACTCCTTAAGGGAATTAAAAGTTACCATTGCGAGAATGTATTCGGTTCTGCACTCCTTAAGGGAATTAAAAGTTACCATTGTGAGAATGTATTCGGTTCTTACATTCCAAAGAGAATGGTTCTGGCTTTGTTTAGCGAAACTGCACTGATGGGGGACTATGGGCTGGATCCGCTCAAGACTGCGCATGCTTTCTGCAACAATGTGTCGGTAGCGATCGATGGGATAACGATGTATAGCGTGAACCTCGATCCCGAAACGATTGCCTTCACACAACCCTACCTTGTTACAATGGATGCCGTCGGAAATGCCAATATGGAATTAGATTTCAAGTCCTACGGAACTCGTCGTTTCATAATTTGTTTCGACTTGAGTTCAAACCACAATGGCGATCTGGCACATAACCCTACCTTGTTACAATGGATGCCGTCGGAAATGCCAATATGGAATTAGATTTCAAGTCCTACGGAACTCGTCGTTTCATAATTTGTTTCGATTTGAGTTCAAACCACAATGGCGATCTGGCACAATCACAGCAGCCCCTTTTTAGAACCGGCTACCTAAAGTTGGGTATGTCCTTTGCGAAAGCTTTAGAGAATAACCTGGGTCTGACACTCATGGGTTACTTTGATACACATATCGAGGTGACCAGAGACCGTCAAGTATTTACGAGATTTCCTCTTTGAACATCTGCTCAGAGTATAAATGGGGAAATCTCGCAGTGAAGTCGTGCAAAATGGATTCGCGCACCATCCTGCTTGTTTGGGAAAATATCACGGGACCTATGCATCCGATCAATTGGAAAAACTATCCTTCTCAAACTTCCCAGCATGTATCGTTTCTAACTGTTGCAGTCAAGAGAAACGTGGGCGAAATTTCGTTGCAATGTTCCTCGAGAAAAAGGGTCATGTGGAGCTTTTTGATAGCCTCGGTCGGTTTCCAGGTTTTTATGGGCATGCCTTTGAAAGATTCGTGAGCGAGCATGGGGGAAAATCGGCTGTCTACAACGACGTTCAAGTTCAGAGCTCAAGCGCCAAAACATGTGGGGTTCACGTCATTTTCTACCTCATTCATCGATGTCTCGACCACAACATGGAGATTTATCCTCCTCATCTTCCCCCATCATTTCATGGCACAATTGTGAATCGTTTTTTGCTGACACTCAGGAATAAATAAATAAATCGCATACATGCAGTTTCATTTAGAAATTCCGGATGTGAACATGCCTCTGAGTAAAATCTTTTTTCGTTTACACAAACCCTGCAGTGAGCAGGGTTCGCACATCATTAGGCTAATGGGAATGATCATGGAGTAAATGTTTTTCTTCCATTTCCCCATAGCTGTCAACATATGCTGATTTTGAAAAAAGGAAAAGCCACTATTTTGAAAAGAGAGCCATAAATACGTTACCTCGTAGCGATTTTCACTCTGCCAGTTCCTCACTTCCTCTTTCTACGTGATCTTGTCTCTGCTACAACATACTCCTGAGTACCGTAAGTTTGCAAAGATTCAAATACTCCCATTAATTACTGGGAATTTTCTAATCTCAACTTTCCTATCTCTCTTTCCATAGGTGATGCTCTTCCTCACTTATATTGTGATATTTCAAAATCCATTAGATCGCAATACATTTGAGCTATGGTTAAAAGATTGTGTCGGAGGTGTTGTGGATCTAGTGAAGGCTGAGAGGTTACCTTATTTCTGCGCACCTCTGGGGGCACAGTTGGGCTCAAGAGAGAGGTGGTAGCTGCAAGGTTAAGAAATATCCCATGTAAAATTTTTACGTGGGTAAGTAAAGGAGGAACTGAAGAAATACTTTTGTCTGCTGTGAAGACCGCAGAAGAAATACAAGCAAATTAGTTAGCTCATCACAAATCTCTTCCCACATTCCATTTCACACTTGAAATAATTAATATACCTTTCATTTACAGTTATGAAGAGTGGGATGTTGCAGAGGAAGAGGGAAGAGGAAAAAGTAAAATAAAAAAATTCTCCCATCATTCCACTGTTCCTTCATGAATAAAAAATCAGAGTAATCTACCATTGATATTCACTTTAAAAAAAATACAAATTCGTTACAAATGTAACCAGAGATGTGTTTAACACATCCTGTCTTTCACGTAGACACTCATGGCCAGCGTCATTCAAGCTTTCTCAGATCTACGATCATTAATTCATATTTCTTCTCTTTACTAGGAACATGTACGTCATCAAGGTGCACTCTGCAGAGGAGATAGATGATGCGATGGTGCTGTTTTCAGTAGTGGCGCATGTGAAATTGGAGGTGACATCTCCACATACTATCGTACTCAGACTCGAAGGAGATAATCGACTCCGGAAGAAGACCATTGAAGAGAAACTGGGGAGCCTACGTTCGTCCGTGAGATGGCATGCAGACATCGAAAAATGTATCAAGACGGAGGAAGTCCGAGCCAAATATAATTTTGTCTGGTAATATTTAAAAAATCGCTGTATGCATTTTTCATCATAGACGTACGCATTCTTTCCATCCATACTAGTCAACAAAATCGCTGAAATAATATTTTTATATGTTCCTCACTATATATTCTTCTCATTCTCTTCACAGAAACGATAGAGGCTGAAGAGAACCAATTTTCCTAGACCCCTACTCCTGTTCCGACTACATGTCTTCATACCCCTTTAGAAATTCTTCCGCTCTCATAAACTCACGTTTGGATTACTTCCATTCACATCGCAATCATCATTATCAATATATTGCAATACTTTCCCTTGTTCTTCGTATATCGTGTCTATTGAGGTAGAGATTGGCAATGAGTGAATTGTAATAAAGTTTCCTTTTCCATCAACGCATATTTTCTAGTCTTATTTGGTTGCTCCCCCTCCTCCACGTATCTGAGACCGTTCGTGAAAGGCGATCCTGTCAGTGGGTCTTGCAGTTTCTTTCACAAAAGCCACACTGCCGCCCCCTTCCGACTCAGGCTTAATGACTGTCAGAAGCCTTGGATGTAAATAGTATAGTATTCTGAACGACACAGCTTCGGACTTTGATTCGGACACAGAGGAAGACCATCTTCAGGACGTATTCTGAGACTGACTGCTCGTCATTTTCCGTCTAAAATTCGAGCCACAGCAACTCAAGCTCCTCCGAGAAGAAAATGTGTTGTTTGTACCAACACCACTGAAAGACCTAAAGTTCGAAGATACACATACTATGAGTGTATTTCATGTAACGTTGGCCTATGTATTGACCCTTGCTTCGCCCAATTTCACACTTTTGAAGCTTTCTGACCAAAAGATTGATGCTAAGATATCAGAATAAAAACTTTTTCTGAAAATTGATTTTTGACCCAAAACAATCCCGACGTGAAAGGGTTAAATATGTATATAGGTTTACATGATTGCATCAGTTAGAATTTTCAGCAAGCACAAACAGAATGCAATATCTCATCAAATCATTACTTTTAAAAATGTCATTAATACAGGGTGGAGCAAAAGTTACTATACAGTTCTTGTATACTGGAAATAACTGTTTCGCCAATTTGGTCCTCTGTACCAGAGTAATACTGCTGAATGAAGCTGGAAGCTTTTGAAATTATGTTGCACAATCATTTTTCTGTATTATTTGTGTTTTTGTTGTTAGCAGTCAAGATGACAAGAAATTAAAATCTATTTTCTATATTCAACAACTGTATAGTGACTTTTGCCCCAATCTGCATGTGAATCAACACTTTAATCATGCTACTCAACGTATCATAATTCTTGGATCATGTTCCTCATCAACCAAGAATTACTTGAACTACAAACTTGTACACTGCCTTCCTTTCTGTGGTAATGCAGGCATCCCCATTGTAGAGAAGATAACATATTGCTGGCCTGACTCATGGCTGAATATCCAATCTATAAATCTTTCCAGTGGGAAATAACTTACTTTTATTCCAGGCAAAAGAACAATAGTTGATCAGCATTTACCATTGCACTGGGAGCTTAGAGTCTCAACTCTCTGGCGCAACAGAGAAAAGTCCTCTTTTTCCATACTTCTAATTAAAAAACAGACAAATCTTGACAAAGTGACAAAATTGCATATATGCCTATTAGTCAGATTTCTGAAGTGTTTCTCTTTTGATGGAGGCAACAGTTTGGATGATGAAATCCTTTACCTCAGCAACTGAGTTGGGTTTTCTCTTGAATACTGTGTTACTGTGACATCACACAGATATCTGCACATGCTGGGACCTACTTTTGGAACAGAGAGTGTGGCATTCCAAACATGTGGTTTCAACAGGATGGCGCAACATCCCATAAATGCCTGAACTGGCTCAAGGAAATTTTTCAGAATTGTGTCATCAGCCAGAAAAGTGAATTTCCTTGGCCCCCTAGATCACCAGACTTTAGATCGCCTTTAGACATTTTTATTTGGGGATTCATCAAGGAAGAAGTACTCAAGAGAAAACCCAACTCAGTTGCTGAGGTAAAGGATTTCATCATCCAAACTGTTCCCACCATCGAAAAAGAAACACTTCAGAAGGTAATGCAAAACTCTGTCATGTGTATTTACAAATGTACAGCAGAAAGTGGTGGACATTTTCAACATCTTATGTAGTCAGGCAAAAACTTGATGAAGGTCTGAACAATATCAAGTTGACTCTATGTTTCTATTTGCAGTAATAAATAATTTATGAATTTTAAAAATGTGTTCCTTTTTTGTGACCCACCCTGTACTTCGACATCTTTGAGCAATCTAGGTCATCACATATCCTGCTTTGCTCAGGCAGGGAGAACATATATCCTTAATCCTCTGTATGTTATATACATGCCCAAGTAATGGAGTTGTCTTTTTCCTCCTTCTTTTCAAAATTAAGCTCTCTGGTTGGTTCAATAGCTGTTTCATAGTGAGGGGGAGGGGTGTCTTGACTCTGGTCAAAATTCATCAGCCCCTTAAAAATAATTTCTGACTATGCTAGAGGGGATGCTAGGAGGACTCTAGTTCTTCTGTTCCCCCTAGCCTGGGGGAACTGCCTGTCTGGCCAAATAATACTGAGCAACACAGTTGATATGTGAACCATAACTACTGATAACATTTTTCTTACTGCATTCTCAAGTCATCGACTGATGACTTGAGAATACAGTAAGCAAAATGTTCCATGAGTTCTATGTGAATGTCAGTACCTTTTGGTATTGACATCCCTGAAAACAAATAAACCCATAGACAAGACTAGTTCATGTAACTGATCAGCATAGGATTCACCCCTTCTCTTGAATATCATGACTTGCACTTAACCCTATAGAGATCCCTGCATACTATTTTGTTGTCTAAATATGCATATCACTAAACCACCAGTATTGCATAAGTCCAAGGTGCAAATACATATTTCTGTCAATACTTCGCAGTTTGTCTGGCTTGTTTTGAAAAGTTGCCATCCTTTGGAATTTGCCAGAATTTGACAGTACTTAAGTTTGTCCCATACTTTCTCCCAAGTAACAAGTTTTTGTGCTTATTCCCCATGAAAAGGTGGAGGCAACAGACACAAGCATTCAAGTTACAAACATGGGCTTCTGGAGCTCAATGTTGACAAAAATATGTGTGTGGTTTAACTTGGAAACATCTTCCTTGGAATTGAACTCAAAACAAATCTAATAGAAATTAAATAGATGAAATGTGCAAGACTGAAATGCAAACCATGTGAGACTTGGGTCTGTTGATGGATTCCACTGGAAGTCATAGATGGTTTCTCCTTCAGAGATGCTGAACTCAGGCTGCAACTCCCTCAGCCCACTGACAGTCGAGCCAAATTCTGCCCATTCAGTGGGCAAGGAGTAGCAGCGCATTATGTTGTCTTCACTGCACACTAAGCATTTCCATCCATCAGGAGACCTGCTCAAGAATATGTTATGCAGCTTATAAAGGAAAACACTTAAACTTTATCATACATGCATACATTTATTTTTACATTAACCTTTATCTGACTAATGTCACAAATGCTATGCCACAGAATGTATTTTTCCATGGCCTAAAGGTACTAATGCTATACTGCAACTTTTTGTAAAAAATGGTCTGATATTAAGTGAATAATGCTCAGTTAGTGGGTGTTTATGAGCTTTGTAGAAAATATATGACAGTCAGGGCTTATGCTGGTGATGTAAATCCATCTGATAAAGGTTAAAACCCTAAGAAAGGAAATGCTCGCACATGCAATGGTATTATGGGAGGGCATGCACCATCATCCACTTTAGCTATGGTATGTGGCTTTAATAGAGTCATAGAAGGAGTTTCTGAGAATTAGCCTCGCAAATTCTCAGGCCTATCATCAGTTTCATCCAAGCATCCCCCTCTTTTCACTGCCCATCTGCAGAAGTAGCTTTTTTTTAGCTTTTCTAAGAAGGTAAGAGACCCCTGAGCTGCAGTATTCTCTATTAGCCCTTCCAAAATTAAATTCTTAAGTTCTGTCTATGATGCTCACGTTGAACTCTGAACTCAGATTGATTAATACACCATGTATATACAGTCAAATAAAATGATCAATATTCCCTTGATTCATGTTGCCAGTTGAATCGCTTTCATTTGACTGCATCTTGCACATATATTCCATAATAATCAAATAATATGGACTCAAATTCATTCTGCCCATGTTTTGAATACAGTATTCAGCCTGCTAATAATGTACACAGAAACTATGTTGGACTCTATTATTTAAAAAAAGTATAACTTTAGATTGTTGCAGGAGCATTTGAAATGAATTGATATACCATTTGCATCCACGAGTGAAGTTTCCCATTTGTTGATATGGATCCCAAGCCCCACCAAGGAGTACTGGCATATGACAGTAATCATAGTCAGGAACTTCCCAGTAATCAACAGATTCAGAATATTCTTGAATATCCCTGATTTCATCCATATCACAGGTGGCAGAATTGTTTATACCAGTATCAGTACTTGAAACCACAGGAATTAGCACTTCATTTTTGAGAACCTCCTCACTGTCTTTGGGTACCATGCACAATGATACAACCTCTTGAAATTTTGTGTTCTGTCCTTCACCACTCTCGATGGCAGATTTAGAAGGCACTTGTCCACTTGGCAATGAATGCACAGAATTTTCTGCATCATGACCATAACTGTCATTCCCTTTGGAGTTGAAACACTCATTAGAGACAGTAATCGTAGGTAATTCCCTTACACATTTCTCAGACACACTGGTGACACTTTGCACCTCCATCCCTGGAAGCTGACAGAAACAAAATCAGTTCCTGAGAAAACCATGGGGAGCAGTTCAAGCACAAAGTCAAGCTAACCATAGATAAAATCTTTCACCAACAATGTTTGCCGACATTGCACAACATTTGCACATACTATGTGCAACTTACTGAAGCAGCAGATTAGCTACCAGTGATGAACTAAAATTTGGGAAATATGTGATATTGCTTCCCTTTCTGAATTATAAAAAGCCCAATTAGGACAATAAATATCACTACACCTCCAGACGAGTATCCAAACAATTCAAAATTGAGATTATCAACCACTATACATTTTACTTTTTCTCAAACAAGAACTTGTTCATGAATCTCAAAATGAGACAATTCATGCCTGTTCCCAAAGAAATAAAAAACAAATTCACTCAATAAATTTTGTTCTGGACATCATACCAACACTGAAAAATATCTGAAATTGATCACAGTGGATATGAATGACTTGGATGCCATAGTGAAAGTGATAAAAAAAAAGCCACCAGAGTCTGAAAGTCTATAGGGTGGCTCCAGAAGACCAAGATATCGACTGCATCATTTCTCAGCCTCCCACTTTTGCACATGAAAGGAGTGCATATTGCCAATAGTAAGCCACATTCACGGCAACATGTACAGGGTGACCCATTTGAAAAGCTTACTGATGAATGGCCATGAACAACACAAACCAATGAATGGAAGAAACTGAAACTTGGAATGTAAACTACTGGCAGCATGGGCTTCTTAAATCTGTGAAGAAAGGAGAGGCAACAGATGCATCCAGCACACAATTTGCATGTCACATGGTCCATGAACAGTATAAAAGGTGTGTGACTGTGGACTGTGAAAATCAAGATGTTAGAACTTGCCACATGAATTGAACTGATTCAGAAGTTTTATAAAAATGAAAGGAATGCATTCCAAGTCACTTCTTCGACTGGACACTTCTTTGAAAGCTTTCGTTGAAACATCCAGTTGAAGAAGTGGCATAGAAGTGTCTTTCAAAGAAGCGACCTGGAACCGAGGTCACACCATCAAATCCATAGCATGTGTGAAGGTCCATGCTCATGGGCAGCATTGGGAAAACTTGTGAGAAAATTTTAAAAGACTGGATCTGCAGCCAATACACTGAAGAGAAGAGGCCATATATCATTTCCATCATATCAAGACATTTCCTAGTCTTCTTTCTCTCATTCTTAGAAGCCCATACTGGCAAGTTTTAGCTTCTTCTGTCCATTGGTTTGTGTTGTACACAACCATTCATAAGTAAACTTCTCAAAGGGGTTATCCTGTATATATGCAACACAATTAGTAATATACTGGAGTCAGATAGTTGCAAATGCAATCCATTTATCTCTACTTGCTTTTAGAAGCAAATTTGAACAGATTTGTTGTTCCTCTATGAAGCAAGAGAAAAGGAGGTATAATTCCAAGAATGTCATGGCATGATGCTTCTCTGCAAGCAATCTTGATGAGATAATTTCACTGCATATACATTTTCACTGTCTTCTTTTCCCTGTAGGATCCTTTCCATAGTGAAGCATTTGCTTATAGGTGCAACTTTTCCAATTATCTTGTGTGCCACATCTCACTTCTCATTTCCATACCACTCTCTAACCATTCCCAGCTGCAGAAAAATAAGTAAAATGCATTTGATGACAACCAACTGACCTTGGTTTAACAGTGGCAGTCAAGGGACATCCTACCACACTTGTGAGGTATCACAGAATCTTTAGTTCAGAACTAAAGTGAATTGTCAGAATGAGTTTTTCCCAAGAATTTTCCCACTATAAGAACATTATTAACCTATTTTATTTTTATTTCCCATAATTTGCAGGACAATTTCTGCAACAAAAGTGGATGCAGTGATAAGCATATCACAGTGAAATGAGCTACAGTCAATTTACCAATGCAAATAATTTGTCTGCATTGAACTGTCAACAGCCATTTCTCTGGCTGAGAAATGACCTGCAGTGAAATGCTATGGAGTCAAAATGGAATGCAGGAAAGTATCTCAAGAAGCACTTTCTTGGGGTCAGTGAGAAACTGTTGGGAAAATGTTCCCAAGGCATGAAGGCCCCAGGCCCATCATTTTTTCCCTGTCCTGAGGGAGAGGAATTCCTTCAGTGGAAGTGGACAGAATTCTTATACAGAGGCAGTTGCTCCCTTTCTGCCAATTCCTAATTTATCTTCGTTTCATTCTACCTTGGCAAGTTTGCTCATTCCTGTTCTTCCCCCCCCCCCACTTCTTCGCCAGATACTCCACTCCAATCTAGCCATTTTGGATAGGAAGTGAAGAGGCTGGAAGTGGCCAGATTTCAGATAGTAGCAAGATTTCAGGTACATTACAAGACATAACCTTCAACTGAAGGGTGTTATAGGAGCAAGGAGGCATATACAGGGTGTTAAGAAAGTTGTGTCCCATCATAATGTCTATAACCTCAGCAAAAATTAAAAAATCAGGAAATTTTTTCATACACAATAACAAGGACAGTTAGCTGATTTAGAATCACTTAATAGTTTTCAATATAACCACCCTTGACACGGATGACAGGGTTCAGACAACCCATGAAAGCATAGACTGATTTTCGCAAGACTTCCTGTGGAATTCGCTCCCATTCTTGGTTCAGGGATAGCTTGAGAGAATCCAAAGAATGGTACTTTGTAGCACCCACTTTGCTCTCCAAGATGGACCAAATTGAAAAATTTAGGGGGCTGACATCAGGGGAGTAAGGGGGTCATTGTGAAGTTGAAATGAAGTCGGGGACATTTGTCAGCAGTCACTCCTGGGTCATCCGCACCTTGTGAGCTGGTGCCAAGTCTTGCTGGAAGACCCAGCTACCTCCATTGAAATATTTTGTGGCCCACAGAAACAGGCAGTCTTCCAGGATGCTTTTCCGGTATACTTCAGCATTGACCTTCATCTTCTCAGGCACAAAAACAAGCAGAGTGCATTCAGAAGCAGTAATCCCAGCCCAGACCATTACAGAAGCTGCCCCTTGATGTCGAGTGGCTTGAAAAAAATCCGATTTCGATTTTTCAATTTAGTCCATCTTGGAGAGCAAAGTATGAGCTACAAAACACCATTCTTTGGATTCTCTCAAGCTCTCCCTGAACCAAGAATGGGGGCGAATTCTACAGAAAGTCTTGCAAAAATCAGTCTATGCTTTCATGAGTCATCTGAACCTTGTCATCTATGCCAAGGGTGGCTATATTGAAAACTAAGTGATTCTAAATCAGCTAACTGTCCTTGTTATTGTGAATGAAAAAATTTCCTGATTTTTAAATTTTTGCTGAGGTTATAGACACATTACGATGGGACACAACTTTCTTAACACCCTGTAGTGTGAGGGTAGAGGTGGCACTACTGATCTCTGCTCCATGAGGAACTCGAGAAAAAATGTGTGCATTGTGCTCTTCTGAGAAAAAAATTCATTCACATGCAAAAATGAGTAATTGACAAGATGAAGTTAATAGCTTGGTTTCTTAACTCACCAAATAGACATGGCTCTGGCTCCAAAGTTCAGGAGATTGGCAATATAGGTTCTATCTTAGTTCAAAACAACAAATATTTAACACATGATTACTTGGGATTACATAGATTCTAATCAAATCTATAAGGGTGGTTCAAATTTGACCTGGGCTTTTGTTTATCAAAGGCAGAGTAATGTATACAGGTTAAACTTTGAGGGGAATTTGTCTTTTTAGTGTTGGTAACCCATACTCACAATAACACGTTTCCTGCTTTATTACATGAGCATCAATGAGAACATCAAACTTGCAGAAACTTACAGACTGCAGAGCACAGTGATGATTGCCTGTAAAGGACATTCATATTTAAATTGTGCAAATCATTTAAAGAATAATGTGAAATTGTACAGAATGAACCACATGCTGTAAGATCATAGCCACCTTACCAAGCAAGGGCCACATGTGAAGGGACAAGATGAAAGTTCAGAGGAACAAAATTTAGACAATGTCACAGTATAAATTACCTGACCATGCTCATAATATAATCAACATTAACCCAGAGTTCTGATCATGAATAGTATGTCAGGTGAGGCATGAACATGAAGGATGAGGTAACATGACATTTTCCACAGATATGGAATTACTGCTGCCTATGCTCTGAAAGCTGTCTTGCAGACACCAGAGGGAAGTCAATGTCTGGACCACAGTCTGATTTTGGACTGCTGGATTCTAGCATCTAGACCAGGGGTGCCCAAAGTGCGGCCCGCGGGCCACATCCAGCACACAAAGTGCCTTAGAGAACTTCCACTTTGGGCACGTCTGATCTAGACTATTAGAGAATCTGTATTTTCTTTTGCAAAGGGAGAAAATGTCCAGCAGCATAATTATGACAAAGACTACATCCCCTCAACATCTGGACCTCCAGCCTCCAATGACTATATCAACTCCTGCTGCAAAATGTGAACAGGAATTCCAGATGAGAAATCATGAGTTCACATGAATTCCAGATGAGAAATCATCAGATGGACAGGAAATGCAACTGTAACCAGACTATCACAAGTCTCATCTACCAGAAAAGTCTGTTGTGAGTAGTGGGACAACCAAGGGGAGAGGTTCAGGGGATTTTAATCCCTCTCCAATACCTGAAAAACTAGACTCTTCTTACAACTGCCAGAGATATATTTGTGCAACCGGTGTGGACCTAGACCTCTGCTCAGCATCTCCACCCTCTTTTCCAGCCCATGAACCTCTCGTATCCTGATTGTGGTGCAAGGGCAAACACCTAAAAACTCAAGACTTGTAGTACTAGGCGAAAGACAACACATTAGAAGACATCAAGAAGAGTGTCAGTGATGGGGATGTGCTGAATGTCTGTTGCAGAACCAGACCATGATGAATTCCCATCAACAGGGAAGAGGCCAACAAGAGATGAAGTAGGCATTTCTCCCAACCCGCATTCATCCTTCACCAACATTGGTACTGGGATCCCTGCAGAAAGCAATCCAGATGATAAGAGCCTCCTGTTTTCAGGCACAGGCATAACTTTCTTGCCTACATGCAGATAAATGCTTTGAGAGGGTGATGTCAACAAAAGCACCATAACAGTTAAGCTTTCTGAGATTTCATGCCCTTTTAGAGATATAAAGTTTATGTCATTTTGATTTGCTTTTTTATATATCTTAAGTAAATACTTCCTATTGAGGAGCATAAGAAGAAAGAGAGATCCAGGGATGAAAATGACCACAAGGGGGATAATACATCAATGGAATGGAGGAAATATTGAATGTAGGGAGTCCAGTGTGCAAGAAAAAGGGGAAAAGTGGATTTGGGTGGTATGTGCATATGAGGACGGGAATGTGGCGATGAATGGTTGTGAGTGGCAATGAGCACTCATGTCCAGTTGCTGATTGGGCAGGGATGGCAGCTCCCTTGTCTTTCACCATCCTTTATCAACTCCCCCCCCTCCCATCTTGGTCAAAAGAAATGGGAGAATGAGAAAATCTAATAGCAAATTCTTCCATGATTTCTTGAAGGAAGAGCAAAGGATATGGCTGAAAGAAATTCCTGTCCTCCAATGTACAAGTATAAGAGAAAAAGTGAGGTGAAGGAAAAAAAATTCACCTTCATGCAGGTAGAAAGCAGAAAACAATGAAAATGAATTTTTTTCAGTTTGAAATTCCAGTGTAAGAGGGAGAATTAGCTTTGGGGATCAAAAGTTTGTCTTGAAAAATAAGGATTGGACATGAAAGATGTCCATAATTATCAAAGAACATAAATATGGAGTCAATGAGGTGTTTTCATGGACTAAAGATTATTTTCCACTGTCAGGGATTCTGAATGAGCTCAGTAGGCTAAAAATTCTGAAAAAGACCCAGTTACTACCATTCCTGAGTACAATATACAAGGCGTTCAGATTGTCATAGGAATTTGCAGTTAATGAATTTAACCCTTTCAGTGCCAGAGTCAAAGAGATGGTACTAAAAGGGTTAAGAAATGCCCTTCATTAATATCATGCCTCTTCTCTAACTTCAACCCTTTTAGTACCAGCTCTTAAACTAAGGCATTTTGAAACAAAATTTGTAGTGTTGATTTAATTGACTCTGGCACTAAGAGGGTTGAGGTTAACTCTTTGAGTTGCGCATGAAGTTATTTAATTTTTATTACTAACTTGTTGAAAAACAACAAATAGATAGTAAATTTGTTTTGATTTTATATTGTAGAAAATTTTAAACCTTAGGGTGGATTTTTAAACAGAGAACTATCTGATAATGCAGCTTTATTTCAGAGAAAATGCATTATAAATCCAGTAAATAAAGCTGCATTATCAGATAGTGCTCTGTTCCAAAATCCACCCCAAGTCTTTCAATAATTTGAAAAATGTCACCTGCAATGTCATCCATACTGTGGTCAGGCACTGACCAAACAAAGGCTGAATAGTATTCTCAAAATGGTCTGACCACTCCAACTCAAAGGATATTTAATCCTTTGAGTTGGAGTGGTCAGACCATTTCAAAATACTCAAAATGAGCACCTTTCAGGGGTATGCAACAACCATAGTCTGTTTCAAAATGCAGTAAACTTTTGGAAATTTTCAAAGGGCAATTTCACATCAGACTACATACATTTTTGCCTTGAAGCATTGGATTGTTGGTGGCCCAGTATGGCCGCTGTACTCATAAAATGGTCCAAAATCTGAATGGGGAAAATCAGGTGACTCAGTCAGTATGTTTTACCACAAAATTAAGAAATAAAGAGGCAGAAAAAAAAAGCAATTTCTCTATTTTGTGTGACTTTCTGATCACCTCATAACCTGTGCCAACTTCCAGTGATTAGTTTTTGGATAAAAAATCAATAGCAGAATAATTTGTTGTCTTTCCATTACATGACAAAATAATCTCCATATGCAATCAACCAAAAGAAATGAAATTTGATATGCTCACTACTAATCAACTGCAAAAAATACAAAGTGAGACAAAAAAAAGCACAATTTTTTGCAATTTTGTGGTGCTCATAAAAAAGCAGCTAAACACATAATTTATTTTTCAATACAAACAGTATTTTTTCAGAAACATGACATTTTTATTCATTTGTCTCCAGCTGACTCCACCAATTGATGGAGATTTTGCCTGCTGATTTTACAGATCAACATGAATTTCCCATTTTTGCACTTTTATCACAATACTGACCCTTGAATCAGAAGCAATGACCATTAATGGAAATTATTTTGCAAGGCTTTTTCCTTCTGCACTTCAGAATCCACTCAAGCAATCTCTCACTCTACATTGACATCTGTAGTAATTTGCAGCAGGGACTTTTGCATCCCAGGACTATCATCTTGAGGAACTAGCTTCTTTGACATGAATGCAGGTAGCTTCAGTTGCAGCTAATTTTAGTCTACTGCTGTCTCGCTTCCTCTCGTATGAACTCATTTTTCATAGCACCACATTAGGACTAGGGCATGGTTCTGATTAATCAATTAATCAGTTAATCATTTTTTCAAATTTAACCATTAATTAATCAAAAACATTTGTAGAAAATGATGAAAAATGATTAATTTTCCCATAATTTCAGCATGATTTTCCCAAAATTTTGTAATGTGGCATATGAATATGTACCAACAATTAACTTGGTGCATTTCCCAGGACAGTTCCCCCACCCATACCTCGTATTTCAATATTAGCTTTCTTTGAATTTCCCGCTCAAATGTTACTTGTTTGCAGTTGGTGGTTGCAACTCGCAAGCTGCAGATAAGTGGGTGGGTGTGTCCAAGGTTTCTCATGTGATTTCTGTGAAATATATTTATCTGTACTCTTTTGAATTAAACTTATATTGCATAAAATTAATCAAGTGCAGTGTTATAATTTCATTGGTTACTTATTAGTATAGGTTAGTAGGATATAGATAGATAGGCCTAGCCTAAATAGAGGAACTTAGGCCTCAGGTAAGCTAAATTCTAATACTTGTGATCTAGGATCTAGGCTCTCAAAATTTGGTGGCTTTATTCAGTTGTTTTTAGTTGTTGGAGTGGCACATGAGGGAGGAGTTTTTGCAGTGGTATGGAGTGCGAACTACTGTACATTTTGTTTTGCATTTCATTTACATTTTTACCCATTTCAGGAGTATTTCATTTTTAACCATTTTTAATCAGTTAATCATTGATTAATTATAAAATTTCATCGTTCATCACTTTTTCAAAATTTTTTCTACCTCAAGACAACAAAGGAAAATAGTTTTAAAGTGTAAAATGTACCTGAGCATCTGCAATGCTAGACCTGAAACATGTGTTTTCCTGAGGAAGGCATCACATTTAAAGCCCACAAAAAAGAGTTAAAGGTTTTGAATATATATTTATATGTTGGCAGATTCCCTAAATGCTGAAGTACACATTTTTACCCGTCAAAAAAATTATATTATTTATTTTTTGGAACATTAAGGGGTAGCCAACTCCCATAACTCTTGAGGCACAGGGGGTATATACTAGAGGCCAAAATTGTGGAATTACTTGCAATAGGCAAATCATCTTCATAAGAAAAATATTATTATTATTATTATTTGGATCTCATTACAAATCATTTTTATTGCACTTTCTGACAATGAAGTGGCAATTCTTTATAAGTGACATATTTTCATGTGAATTGAAATATATGAAATGGGACTTCAATGCAGAGTATATAAAAAACTAATTATTAGTGTGGTATGGCAAAAGAAGGCAATGTAAATGGTTATATCAAATATTATCATACAATCACATTTTTAATAGTAGTATACACAATACAATATAATAACTTATCCTTTAATAGCCAATAAGCATGCATTCAAACCAGGAGTAAGCAAACTTTATCAGCAGTGGGCCACATGGAAATGTCTGACTCTTCACATGGGTGAATGCAAAAGAAAAGGCTCCTTTATTTTGCCCTCAGGATATATGAGGGAGGGCATAAGGTTGCACTGATAGGCTGATGACCCTTACCTTTTCCCCATCCCTAGGAAATTCCAAAGCCAAAAATTAGCCTATGGCATATTGACCTTCCTGACATATGTAATAATTGTAAACATATTTCTCATGCAAATAATTTGCCTTTGCTCAAGTGTTTTCCAAAATTTGACCATATAGTGCATATATTATTGACTTTTCTTAACCATAGTAAGATGATACATCCATATAAGTATGTCTCTGCTTTCAGATATTAATTTGGCTCATTTCTTGCTATGAGAGTCACCACAGGACAAGATGAGTGTCATGGCAAATATAGTTTAGGAGGTGAGAAAAAAATTGCCCCAATTTGTATGGATTAATATCCATTATGTGCAAGGATTTGTCAATAAATGACATTCACAAGGAACGTGATATTCAATACCTTAAATACAACAACTGAAAATCAACTGCTTGCAATTTCCCACTGCCTTCTCATTCTCAGTCTGAATCACATTGCAGGCATTAATCTACAAAACCTTGCAT